GTGTGCACATCCATCCTCTCTCGCCTTTTTTTTATTTTTAGTTTTCGCGTTCGCTCACGCAGCTAAATAATGATCTACGAGGCGAAACTCCTTCGCTCGCTCGCGCGTGTTTTTTCCTTTGACCGAGTTTATGGCTGTTCCGTGCGAGCATTAAAGACCGAATGGATGCACGCGGCGGGCGTGTGGCGGAGGGAGAATTCCCGCGCGCTCTCTCGTATGAAAACTTTATGAATCGTCATTGACTTTCTCGGCGTACGCGCTCGCGACGTTCAATATTTTATTGTCCGTGGATTATCGCAGCTTTGTCTGGCAATTTGAATTAATGCCGACGGATCGGCTCTATTGCAAAATTAAATCTCGCCTCGTATCGATCGAGTTTAAACTGCTTTCTTGTTTGTACCTTGATTTCTTGCTTGTTCTTCTCCTATCCAGGTACGCGCGTCGGGATAGCCTTATTTTACGACTTTGTCTACGTATACATCCAATTTTTCACGACTTTTACGAGGTACTACTTGTAAAAATAGTGGAAAATCGTGTATCGTGCGAGAAAAGCGTTTCGAGTAATGTAGTAGTAAGTATATAATAATAAACTGCGCTGTGCACTTGCATGGCACAGTTTATTATTATTTCTTTTCGTCTGCAACATTTCGTTCTGAAGTTTAGATATGTTACGCTTAAACGAAAAGTTTGCCGACTAAGAACTTACGAAGCTCGATGTGCGCTTAAAATATCAGTATTGTCGCTTATGGAAGCTTTGCAGTGGTAAAGGACAAAATAGGCTGCTATTTCAGGCAAAGAAAATTGGACGGACGTGTGGCGGATTTATTTGTAGTATTTATCTGAAATAAAAGGCTACGCGTATACGCCAGACATGTGGCGATGAGAAATGCGCGGTGATTACGGTCGCATCCACGCGCTCGCGCGCGCATATGAAAATCCGACGCGACGTTATCGTAAAAGTAGAATCGTGCGCGCGCTCGCGCATCCTCTTTTATTTGTGAAAGGCGCAATTTTAATAACATCAGCGCTTGGGTTGACGTTGTATTTGGAGGCGCACGAAAGAGCAGTCGATGTATTTGATTAAAGCGCGCCTCGTCAGATCGGAAATCGCACCTGAAAGGCCCGTACACTCGCGCGTATTATTTTTTCGTTGAGCGCGAGAGCTTATATTCCCAAGACAGCCCGGCGAATGAGCACGGATGTATTCGCGTGCGTATGGCGCTTCGTTATCGGCTCGCACGCGGCAATCCCCTCGTCGATAAGAACCGCGCGCGGAAGGTGTCTCGTAAATAATGCTGATGGATATGCGAGACCACCGAGGGGATGCGGTATATGTACTGAATCTTGTAAAGGTACCGTCGCCGCTTATTCTTTCCCTTCGCTCCAATGGAATATAAATTAAAAATCTTCCCGACGGATGATGCTTTTTACCTTGCCGCTTCGACGTATCTTCTCGTTTTTATTGCGCGGAAATCATAGTCCTTACTTTGTTGGTTACGAGTGAACGCTTTCTTCTACGTAGCAAAATACGTCTCATGAATTAACATTATTCATCAGTACTCGTCCCTTTGTACGCCCTTAGTTTGATCTTTGTTAAATAATATCAAGCTCTCTACTCCGAGATGAATCATCAAACGAAACGCTGAACGGCGATGTATCTTCAGAGAGAGGGAGAGTTTCCACCCGCAATAAAAATGATAATCCAACGAGGCTGAGAAATCTCTGACCAAACGAGTGGACTTGTAAGTCTCTGAGAAACGGCGCGCGAACGTGATTCATAGGCAGCTATGCTTCTACCGAGGAGAAAAAAGGAGAGAGAGAGAGAGAGAGAGAGAGAGAGAGAGAAAGCTTCGAGGATATCATTTCCTTCGATTGGTCGTCGCTATATACTGCCGTTCCCCTCGATTTCATGGCTCATTTCACGACGTCACTTTGCGATGATTCTGCGTGGACGCGCGCACGCTCTTTCTACGGCTGCTTGCTGCTTCTTTTCCTTCATCGATCTAATTATCTTTCTTCTATTAATTATTTCTTTCACGCTGATACAGTATTAATGCATTTATCTCTGTACATGTACATGGAATGTCCGTGAAAACTCGATTGTTATTGATAATTAATAATAGAAATCAGTTGTCAAATTAGTCACCACTTTTGCGTCTGAAAAAAAAAAATCATGAGTCACTGTTCAACATCGAAATCACCCTGCCGCGAATTATTACGTTACTTCAGGCGAGTGACTCAACGCGCATCCTCCTCGACCCTTCGTAAAGACCAGTCGCACGAGTCACCTTTTACACCGGCAACGAAATCAGCAAGCACACCCCCCTGTTATCACGCGAAGTCGCGTGCACATCGCCTCCCCCGCCTTTTAAAAAAAAGAAAAAAAAAACACGAGATCGCATACATATCTACAGCAATAAACGCTCGTCACGTACGCTCGTCGATTCACTGTATCGAAATACGCATTTGCAAGCTAAGGAAGTGCCGCCTTCTAATCGCGATAATAGCACGAAGGAGGATACGGTGCTGGTGGAACTGCTGGCTGTGAAGGGCGAGATGCTCGCGGTTATCGGAAACGTGCGCGACGATCGGTTATATGGCTGGTTCTACATATCTAAAAGTTTGTGTATGCATACAACGTTAAGCTTTCCCCGAGCTTATCAATATCCCAGTGGCGAGTATGCTAATGGATTTCGATGCAGAACCGTTTTTTCTTGAATTTTCACTCTACTAACGATCGGTAGAGTTACAATTGCGAGCTTACACATTATTCATGTAATAATTTTAGTTCGCGAATGCACTGTCGCTATAAAATTTACATCACATAATTAACTATATTAATGAGAATATTTGTCGAGTATATCTGTCGGTCATTTCATTTTACCATCGACGTTCATGTTCTAAACGTTCAAAATCATCATGTATTTCGTTGAATACCGATTTAGGATTTTGCTTTCAAATAATTGAGCTATTAGCCTCATGGCTACAGCATCATACTCAACGAAATGACTTGGATAGAAAGTGAACGGAAACATTTGAATCTTTATAAATTGTTTTAAAAAGTGTTTGAAACTATTTATCATAATTAGTATTGAATGATTATGTGATGTTGGCCAAAAGTTCACTATGTCTCTGCAGTAATTAATGCCAATTAATACAGAGAAGAAGCGTAATTTCAATGAAAAATTGGTTGACTCGTGAGGACGCATAGAAGGACTAGAAAAACTCCATCGCACGTATTCATCGCAATACATCATCCAGAGAATCCGGACAACATACAAAAAAAATCTCAATAAAAAACTCATCTTCTTCTCCCCTTCTCCCAACTCGACAAAACAACTATACACGAATGGAATTTCCGTCATCGTCATCTACTCGTGGGGCGAATAACACGACATGTAAGAAAGAGAGAGAAAAAACCTAACGAAACCACTTAGAATTCATCATTCCGTTCTGTCTTTTCCCTTCTGCAATTTCCATACACACACACATGCGCGCGCGCTAACCTATAAAAAGTTGCGTGTGCGCCCTCCCTCTTTCGCTGTTATGCAGCAGCGGAGATTATAACTGTCGACCCTCGTTATGACGACGTCGCTTATTATGTGGGATGCAGGTCCCCGTGCTCGCGTCAAGTGCATCCCTCGCAGCAGCGGCGGCAGCAGCAGCAGCAGCAGCAGCAGCAGCAACAACACGAACCCGCGAAAAACAATTTTCTCGCGGGAGCGGCACACCACCCAGTACAGACTTTCATATTGCTTTTACCCCCACCCTCTCGCTTCTCTTTACCTTCACTCCAAATGGAGGTTAGTTATTTTCTCTTTCTTTGGTTCTTCCGGCCCACGTCTGGCTTTGTCTTTTTCAGTGAACCTCGAGAGCGATATTTTTCAACTGTGCTCTCTGCTCTATTTTTATTTATTTTTTTCAGTTTCTCTGTTTTGGATGCTTATTGTACTTTCAGATGATGGAATGTCATCTTGTGCTAAATGGTTTTGTTACCTATCGAATCCTATCTTTTTCTTTTGTTTTTCTATTTAATCTTTCATTTTGCTCAACAGATTACGTACGTTAAAACTGTCATCGCTCAAGCCCATCGCAAGGGATGCCTGGGTAGCCCGAGAGAGACACTCCGACAAAGAGCTTATTTCACAAGGAGAGTTTGAATTTGTAAAATAATGCCAAGTCATGTTGGAGTACGAGTGTCGCCCTTTTCTTACGAGATAGGGACAACTCCCCGCGAGAGTTATTACAGCGGCAATAAAAAGCACAGCGGCGAAAAAGTACGCAGGCACACACGTATACACGATAAAGAACGTGCACGCATAAGTATATTTCAGCAGCTTTGCCCTCGCGCTCTCGGAAACAAAGACTAATACGAGACACGGGGACGAACGTATTATGTGTGCGGGGTTGCCAAGAGACAACGCTCTCTCGAGAGATCGGTTATCGCTGGCGTTTGTCACTGAAAAACACGACTTATTTTTTTGCTGGCCTGTCCTATTCCTTCTTTAGCGCACACACCGCCCTAAACGTTCCGACGCTACATTTAATTTCCAATTACGCCTTTCACTTTTTTCCCCTTTTAAGATTGAATTGATAGTCTTTCTTCTTGGAGCTTCCAGGGAGAAAGCTTCAAGTTTTCCACGGTATTGAACCGAGCTAATTTACGATCGGCACTGAGTTATATTCCAGCACCGTGGAGAGTGTAATTTTGATTCCTGAAAGCGTTAATTATCCGGAAAGGTGCGGGGTTTCAAGCATGCCAGTTGAAAAGTTTAATTGACCCGGAAAACTTTCAACATCTTTCTCGATGTCCGTTCCTCCACGGCGGAGGGGCAGGCCTGAAAATGGGAGTTACTCTCGTCGAAAAGTAAGGGGGAGAGAAGGAGGCAACTTTCTTTTCTGTTATTGGCTTCCTTTTGCTTCAAAGTGCAAGTATTTCACGAGTTTCTAAGTGAATAGACATGTATAATAATCGTCGACTTTGTTTTTTTCTGTTCTAGGTGCATTGCTCTTGTCAACTTCATTGAGGCTTCTTTCTTTTTCGCGTGAGTAGCGCACACCGTTGACTTTCCTATTGCACATGTTTGTTGGTATATCGAGATTCAAAGCATCCATGCGTAAATAACAAACAATGTAGAGCGAGTTTTTTAATTATACAGAGTGCTCCGCAGCTTTTTCACCCCTTCGTGAAATTTCACTGTTTTCTCAATGAAAACGAACGTTGGAATACATATGTTTTGAGTACCGCACTGCGACGGACGAAACTACACAAGATCATCAATATATAGAGTTCTATCGCATAGTTAATTTTCTATAAATCATATTATTTACATGTACACCCTTAACGATGAAAGATATATGCCTGCATATTGCGGCAAAAGAATAACGTCAGCGGTAAAGTCTCCCTCCTCATAAATCTCACGTTAATCGTCAAACAAATACTCAATCAAAGCAGGAAATCCGAGCCGCGTAGCTTTAGCGTTCCCGAACATCATCAGAAATTTTTCCCCTTCCCAATCCACAATATAAAGTATGTCCCTTCCGCGCGGTAATCTCGAAATACAGTAGCCCATCGAAGAGCTGACAAACGTCTACGGAGGCACACAGTGTTGGCGGCTATAAGCGTGTAAGGCAGACTGAGAGCAATAAAAGTCCCGCGGGGTACTGACGTACGGCTGTACGGTTCTTCTCCTTTTTCTATACACGCCTCTATGCAAATCCGCCATTTCGTTTACGGCCGCGTGCGACTCGGCTCTCGTATGATGTGACTGCACTCTGCGATTGTTCTTCCCGCGCGGAAGTTGTAATTCTTCGCTGCGCTATTGGCTTTCTGTAGTTTGTGAGTTATACTGGTTATCGGAGTGGCATTGAGATTAATCTTTTGTAATTTAAAAAATTTTCAGGCTCAATTCCGCGTCAACTCTTTACATTTTTTTATATTGTCTTGGTTCGATGCATTTCAGTTTTTTTTTCGCATCGCTACATGGCCTATTGGGTGATCACGAGCAATGCATCGTTAAAACATTTTACCTAAAGCACGGCATTCTATCGAATACCTCAACAGCCAAAACACTAACTCCCAACGAGTTCGGAAAAACGTATGCCGAAAAACAAACCAAGCAATTTTCTGTATCAAGAAAAACAATAAAATGTTTTGTCCGGAACTCGTCAACTTAAATTTGCAAAGAGCAACGATCAAAAAAGTATTCCGTGAAATACAACGTTCGCCGGCAGCATCACGCACAGCAGCAGCCGCGCGTGTATCTATCTTGAGAGGAGCAAGTGTCGCGCTGGCGTCATTCGGGGATTTATGCAGAGAAAGAGAGAGCTATACTCCGCCATGATTTACTCGGGCGGTAGAACTTTTCTTCGCCACGAGTGCGCTCGAGTTCGCTCCGTGAAAATATGTATCTCTTGCCCTCGCAGAAACTTTGTCGCGTTAGTTCCTCTATTTTTTTTCCGAAAAAAGCTCTTTCCTCCCTTCAATGTCGACCCTTTTTACCGAAAGGGATTTGCGCTGCTATGATTTTTCATTCGCTCGCCGAAACGTCGTCAGGGATTCAGCTGTTCGCTGAGCGCTTGGAAAAGAAGAGCCAATTTACCGAGCGGAATTTTTAGTCGATCGACGCGCTCGCTACGAAATTGATGAAACGATTAATGATCGTAATCGCCGAAAAGGAACACGCATACGCTATGCAAATAACGAATATTTATCGCGAAATATCGGCTGTCAAACTGAATTATTAATCTTGCAACGCATCTGACGCAGTCAATTATGCACTCGTCGAATCTATCGAATATCATTTGCACAAACGCGAAAATCGCTGGCTATTTGTCCGACATGGCTGAGCCAAAATTTATCCGTTTGCGTCCGACCACTCTTATTATATCCTTGAAAAAATATGACATTCATGATCTCATCAAAACTGATTTTAATTTGTCGAATGCTTCGGTGTGAAACACGATTAAAAAACAGTATTGCCGGCATAATAGAAAAAAAACCGATTGATTACCGGCGAATCCAATATATCATTTTAAATAATAATTATTTCATTATATCAAGTAGTAAGTTATGAGATTTATGTACAAACTTTTTTATTCATTTATTTATGACATGATGAGAGCCGGTGTACTTAGTCCGCATTACTTTTAAAAATAAAAATGAACGTTTGCGACGATTCAAAAAATATTCAAGGCGCATGACTTTCAACATAATGTCACGTAAGCCGGGTTTACATCGGAATCCGTATGAATTTAAACGCGCAGCATGGTTTATTTATTACACAGCAATTGAGCGAGCATAGCTGCGCAAAGATAATTGGTTTCAATTGACAGCAGAGTCACGCGGTGTACGAGCATTGTGCGCCCGTAACAATTGTTACTTTGAAATCAATTTCCCATCGAATTTTCATAAACTAGGAAAGAGTCCAGACTAAACAAACGAATTCATCGGGCGAAGAAAAATCGCACGCAGTTGATGCGCACGTGCTCCAGAATCATTAGTCAAGTGGGACTCAATCTTGGTCGGATGCGCGCAAATGATCCAGCCGTCAAGTCCGACATGCAAGGACAGCAGCCGAAAAAGATTATGGATATCCGTCGACGGCTGGTTTGTCCCTCCAATCTCTCGCTCGGAATTTTTTCTTTTTTTTTTTTGTCACAACGCCTGCGCGCGACGAGTTATTGGGTGTCGCTGTCAGTTGAGTTTGACGTTTCGCGAGCCGCACGCATGGATTTTCCCTCCGATGTATTTATGAGCAAATTTTTATGTTGCACTGAATGTTTATTACTCTGGAATGTCAACTGGTTTTATGCCGCTACCGCCGCCGCCGCCGTGCGCAAATGTTTTTCCCGTCGGACGTGGCTCTACTTTGACGGTAAACAGGCGCGGGATTTCGTGCGAAAGGTTGCAAATGCCAAATACAAAAAGCAAACTTTCAATGATGTAGAGATGCAAAGCGCATCGGTAAATTCCAGGTTGTCCGGCGAAATCCTCATCTAATTTGCACGTCTCATTTGGGGAGCAGCAGCGTCATTTTCGAGACTGAGCGCACATAGCGCAGCAGCGACCGAGCTAATGTTAATATCCGGCTCTAATTCACCCATGGGCTTCATTCAAGCCTTTATAGGCGCGGGCATTCGCGTTGCCGGCTAATTTCCTTCACTCTTGTTTTATTCCTCGTCCCTTGGCTCTTCATATTTTCACGGTATGTAATGAATGTCGACAGCGCAACTCCTTTAAATTTTTATTGTCAACGGTAGGGTTGGCTATTATTGTTGTGTTTTGTCGGCGTGCACCTAGCCCTTTATTTCCATTTTTATGGTTATATCACTCTTTGTGTCATGCAACGTGCGAATAAACTTTTAATGAAAAGCTAACGGTATTTCGCGTATCAATTATCAATAACACATTTGCAAAGAGTTATTGTTGCGCGTACTTTATTACCTGGTATGAATAACTTGTACAATTGCCAATCGGCGAAAACCTGCGAAAAGTGCATACAAATAACTGTAAAATCCGACGCAAGTTGCGCTTTGGCGAACGAGCAAAAAAAGTATTCGTTTATTTGCGAGATATCTGCTGACAAAGATATCAACGGAAAATCGAGTTCCCCCTCTCTCCCCGCGTAAATATCCGATGCGTATGCTTTATAAAACAAAAAAAAATAAAACACAACTCGTAATCACGCAGGTCACGTTCGTGCGCGGGGGTGCGACGCTGAAATATTCAATCCGGTCAATGATTCACTGGCGCATTCGCGTGAAAATAATAGTAATCCGAACGCGCGCATTTCTCCCTCTTGAAAAAAGCACACATGTGCCCCATCACCTGCGGTAATTATTTCTTCCGCGGAGCGCACATAAATTTTAGCCGACGATGCCTCTCGCCGGGAAAAAGGCCAATCGCGTTCGCTTTTATTTACTTTGTTCGATATCGCGCGCCAAAATTGCCGATGAGGGAAGGAGGAAAAATCAAACAAGGAATGCTTTGACCCAGTTGCGCGCTTCGCGATTAACGCGCGCGAATTGGCTCTCTTGCGAAACGAAACGAAATTAATACCTGCGACAAACAAGCGAATCTCATTTCAGGCTTCTCGTTTTCGCGAGCACACCTTGCACCCCAGCACTGCGTGCCTAGTTCATTCGTAATTGTTCGTCTGCGCTTTCCTCCGGGAAGGCTCTTTCGATTTGACGGTCAATTTCGGGGTGACGGCTAAAGCGACAGTCGAGCGTCGAAGAACAGGTTGAAAGCCTGCGCTGAATGATCTCATTGGATGCACCGAGGGCACTCCGCAGTAGCACTGGTTTATTTCCCTCCAATTGAGGGCTTAGAACATTGTCCGCTTGCGGAGCTGCAACTGCGAACTCGGTCGAGCCAGGGCCCAGGCGGCGCGGAAAGAACTGGGCTGGCGCCGGCGTGTAATTGAGCGATAACGAAGCCCGAGCACTCGGTTTACAGCCTTGTGTTTGCGAATTCGTTTCTCGTGCTCTGGCCGATCCAAGTGCCAGGCGGCGCAGCTAGCGGCCGCGCTTCCAATTTCCATGCGACACACGCGATTCCCCCGACCGAGCTGTCCTTTTCCCACGTTCGCTCTTTAGTTTGGCGTCCTTTCAATGTTTGCGCCGGACTTTTCCTGCTTTGTTTGCCAGTTTATGTTGGCGTTCGCGCGACTCGGCAATCAGCGCTCGAGGGCCACGTCGAATTTTTATGGGCAAAATGAGATCGCGCGCGTCGGTCCTCGCAAAACCAACCCGCAAAATGCGCGATAAGGCCGTGCACACGTTCCCGCCGTTCCCGCAATTATCTTACGCCCGGTGGTCACTGAGAAATACGCCGCTGAGCATTATCTCGGAGTACGTTGCATTGTAAAACACAAGCCGAGGCGGTAAATCAGTCCTGCAGCCGATCTATCTATCGCGAAGCGTCGGCAATTCTGTTTCGCTCTCGGCCGTTCTCTGGGCCTCGTCGAATCTTGCGGCTATCGACGTTCAGCTGGTCTTTTCAGATTTACTGTTTGCGCGGCTGCCCGCGGATATCTCCTCG